GGGGGGGGGGGGGGGGGGGGGGGGGGGGGGGGGGGGGGGGGGGGGGGGGGGGGGGGGAGAGGGGCGGTGCGAATTCGTATGTTTTGCATGCCTTAGCGGTTGGACCATTGACCACACGTCCTCGATAGAGCAGAGCGTTGGGGGGAAGGCCCATTCGTTACCCAGACTGCCACTTGGGCAGCAAAATACTTACTCTTGATTGCTATAACTAGTATTGGACAAGCGTAGCAGAGGCGGCATCGTTAGTTGTCCATCGCAGGGCACTTCAAGCCGGATCTGAACAAGACAGACTGCAAAAAATCCAGGCTCATACCGCACAACTCGGTGTTTATTTCACGGCTCTCGTGCTCGATTCTTCTGCGCAGCCGACTTTTGGAGCGCGACAGTCCGGAAACAACGGGGGGCAGCCCTCGGATATGGACAACAGATCTGTTCCTCTTTGAAAGTGGCGATGCACTGAACAATTCAAGGTTGAAATGTGCGCAACACACCTCTGTGCGCAATACACCTCTTTTGTGTGAGGTTCACTGGTTGTATGTTGGATGGCCATTGTTGTTTTCGTAGTGCTCACCATGTTGTTGAGGCACCTCCGGATAGACCCCGCGAGCTCCTCGGGCGGCATCCCAAGCCGTGCCAGAGTCTGGACCGCCTCCTTTGTGGCCTGCTCGAACCTGCCGTCCCGAAGCATGCACATGTAAATGTCGCGTATACCATCCGCTTTTAAGCTACAGAAGCTTTCCCGCGTTTTGCAACGCCGCTAGCACAAGTATCTCAGTAACAAGTAGACCCATGGAGTATGCACACGGTGCGCTTCGCATGCTGAACTCATGGGTTGATTGATCTACCCTGTGACGTGATCAGAGGCTGTATGTAACCACTACTACAGCTGTGTCCACGTGTTGAAACACGTGATATATAATATACAGCAGGGAATTCTCCATAGATTAATTTCACAAGATGAATTTTGGCATGTGCATGTATCGGACACCTCGAAACCTCGACATCCACCATACGTTGCGCGTCGTTTCGACGTGGACGAAAGAACCTTGGGCATCTCCTGCATTATGCCGTGCAACAAGTGCAACACTTTGAGACTCTTTAACTCTTAACTCCGCTCCGCCGTGTTCAACCACTGCAATCACTCTGCATGCTGAAGATGCGGATGGGTTCCCTCCTCTCTTTGACGAGATGCATGGGTAGAGAGAGATCGGAACGGTTTTGAATGTGAAGACAACGACAACAACAACAGCAACAACAACAACAACAACAATTGTACATCGGGTTCGGCAACAGCACTTCACGGATTCAAGCACACGTCAAGGCCATCTCGTGGAGGAGAGATCTTCACTGCACATCCTCACATGCCGTGTGCTTGCACACGTATGCCGCGTGCTTGCACACGTGCACCAAAGTACGATCATAGCATACCTTTGTGTGGAATGAACAGTCGTACTGCGCAATCGAGAGATCTTAGAGACCACACGGTTCCCTACGAAGATCAATTTCATGATTTCATGCGGTGGTGCGGAGCATTGTCTACGCGGCGTCTTGCTGTCTCGCTGTCTCTCTTCTCGTCCAAGAGGCGGAGCATCTTCAACCATACACTCGATATCACACCTCATTTGCTCTTTCGTCTTCTTGTTGCCAACGTCAAGCGAGTGCATCTTCAAGTCTTGGGCACCAGTTCCAGCTGGCCTCCCTTTCGCTGTCTTGCCCATGAATGCTGGGGAGATCTGCCACGAAATGAATGCTGCTGTGTACGTTGTGTGGGGCAACTCCCTGCCCCCGCCCCCCGCGAATTGTAATTTGTTTGGCTTCTGCCGGTATCCACTGTTTTTCTGCAGAAAAAATGCTGTCTGCCGTGCCGCTACCTGGAGTCAGTTCTGCTCGGCGAGACCACACCGCAGTTTTGCACTTTTACCACTCCTTCACATCAGTACGTTTCCCACGACACACAGCAAACGACAGGTATGACTGTGGAGGAATTCTGGTGCGACACTTACCGCCTTGTTTGGCTGGAGTAGAGCAGCTCTCTTTGGTGAAAGTGCGAGCGTGATCGATCGATGCTGGTCCATAGACTGGACGGAGCACCGTCCGTACACCGCATAATCCGGGTTGACGACGTCAAATATGCACGGTAGAAGTCCGACCCTTCGCTTCTCCCCTGCTTCCCCCCCCCACCCGTGATTGGAGCAGTTAACCATGCCTACCCTGATCGAGCAAATCGGAACCGGCGTCATCACCGGCGACAAGGTATGCTAACACACTACTGCCGTAGCACATGCCCGAGATATTCTCTGGTTTGGTAGTTTCGGTGCGACGGCAAGCAGCTGACTCCTGTGGGTAGGTCGAGTTCGTGCTTACGTCGTCGCTGCTGCCGATATGATAACCTTTGCCTGTGCGTGCTTCCAGCGAAGGCTTCCGCTGCTGTGATAGTTGGGTTCGTGCTGGGGACCTTACTTATGCTCGCTTTTGTGTGTGTTGGAGTGTTAGGCACACCAGTCATCACTACATTAGGGTTCATCGCCTACCATCTGCTGTGCATTACACGTCATACGGGTTGGCGCATCGACATCTCTGGCGGTGAAACTTCCTTCGTTGACGCTGCTGCTGGCCCTACGCATATGCATGACCACAAATTGCGCTGCGAGAACCCTGGTGGCATCGTGGAAATACCACGCGGCATCCAAACGCAATTGCATATACGTTATTCCCAACAAGCAGTTGGTACCCAGGGCGTTCTTGTGGCAGCGGTTCATGATCTCTAGACTAAGTTGTGTAGCTCTTACCGCTTCTACATACAGCAGTACCGATCGGCACCCCATTGCAGTGTTTTGACCTATTCGCACTGCGACGCCGTTGCAACGGCCGCAAGCCGTGCCTTCCCTTGCGTGCAGTTCGAGGAACTTCCTTGGAAGGGTGGGGGGGGGGGAGGATAGTTATCATCAGCCACTTGTCCTGGATGCAAGGATACTTTCCACCAGGATGTGTCGCGTTACACCCACAGTCCATGGGCTATGTACAAACATGTGCACACAGCTCTAGCGTCGTTCCGTTGCAAGGAAGTCGTCCCCTAACCTGTCGGTCCCCTGCTGCGTTTCGACCCTCATTTATACTCCGACGGCGGCGCCATTCTTTTATCCCTCTCGGCATTTGTTCATGGGGGTGGGTACCTGACGACCGGCACTCGTGTATTTTGCCGACGGCAGCGGGAGGGATCATTGACCCTTGATCAAAATTTATAGCCGGGCAACGTTTACTATCCGTGCTACTGATCGATAATATACTCATACGCGAGCAAGGACACCCGACAGCAAGTTGCTGCGGCGCAGCGGATGTATGTGTTTTACCGCCGGCACAAACCACCCGTGGCATTGCGTCCTTTGGGGGCACAGCTCAAGTATTTTTTTCTCCTCGTATGTATGCTGACGTACCCTGGGATCACCCTCTCCCTAGAGCGGAACCTGGTAGCATGGAGATATTTTTTATTTTGACCTAACGAATCCATGTCTATCTAGGAAAAGAGTCCAAGCTAGATTAGCCATGAATTCATAGCGTCAGAGAAAGCTACCGGTATTTCCACTGTTTCCCGAGCAGCACACAGCAGTATCTCCCCTGTTGGTAACAGGCCCAACAAGGCAGTTTGGCAGCCATCTTGTGCATCTATCTGTATGTTGTGCTGGGAAGGTGCAGAAGGAAGGTGTTGGGTAGTTGGTTCGATACCTCGATGATATTTCGCATCACGGGAGAACTCAAAGGTCTCCGTAAGCTCGCCGTGTCGAGCTGCTCGCGATCATGACTGTGTCTTTGGGCCCTCTGCAAGTGCCAGTGGTGGGACAGACCTTGTTGTACTACTGTACGCAGTGGAAATCACCTGTCGAAGTCGTGTCATTTGTTGGCGGACTATGTACCTACATATAAGTACGCTGCTGTTTCCGTCTCTCTCTCTCTTCGATGTTGTCTCCGCGTAGGGTGACAAGCTACTTTTTTCGTGCAGTGTGGTACACCACTTGGAGTTCACAGGCCTACGCCCCTGCGGATTGCCGTCTACAAACGTAAACGTTCCCGTGTCCAGATGCCCCATCAAACTCTTCCCGCATGACCTGTTCCCACCCCTCCTTGTACACGGACTTGGCAACGCCGGCTACGGCCATAGGGGGGGTTTCTTCGTATTTCGTACGCTTGCCTACGGGGCATGGAAAACTTTTGGTGAATCTTGCCGTTGTTTGCGTTTTCCCCGGTTGACGCGTGAACTCCGCGTGCTGCTGCTGCATCATCAGGTGATGGAGCTCTTCGCCGCCGCGAAGAAGATGGGTTTCGCCATCCCCGCCGTGAACGTCACGTCGTCGTCGACGGCTAACGCCACCATGGAGGCCGCCGCGGCCATCAACTCCCCCATCATCCTTCAGGTGCATTTAGTTTTCTTGATTTGATCTTGTGCTTGATTTTGTGTTGTTTGGGTCGTGGATTGGTTTTTAACTCGCTGGTCGTTGAGCGCGTGACGTGCATATGGTCGACACTTGACCCCTCTCATTTGTCGATGACGACGTGAAAAGTACTTTGCTTCGTTGTCGAGATACTGCTGTATTGTACGTACGGCCACCCTTGCCGAAAGCCGTTGATGATAGCCGCATCTCGAATATATGTAGAACCCCCAAACAATTATCAAGAAACGTGTGAACGGGAACTCACAGGGCGTGAAATATACGCACATTCCATCTTGGTGGAGCGGGAAGGACACTTGCCACTAGAAAAATCCTCCTCTAGAGAAAATCGGCCTTACTTACAGGTGCTGCTGCTGCTGCTGCTGCTGCTGCTGCTGCTGCTGCTGCTCTCTTCACGTGTGATACGTCTATTGGTGTTGCGCGTCAGGTGTCCAACGGCGGTGCCGCTTTCTTTGCCGGGAAGAGCATCAACAACAAGGAGCCCAAGGAGCAGGCTTCCGTCGCGGGGGCCGTGGCCATGGCGCTTCACGTCCGACAGATGGCCAAGTTCTACGGCATCCCTGTCGTGCTGCACTCGGACCACTGCGCCAAGAAGCTGCTCCCATGGTTCGATGGCATGCTGCAGGCAGACGAGGTTGGCTAGGCTATGTCGTATGCTTGTCGGTCGGTCCCCCGATCTAGGCCAATTGCTGACGTGTGTGTGTGTGTGTGTGTGTGTGTGTTTCAGCGAGTAGAATACTTAACGTTTCAGTGCATATTGTCGTATGCATACAACTACAATCAGCCAGGGTCCCACAAGAGGGGGTGAGCACCGGAGCTTTCTCCTTTTGCTTTCGTGCCCAACCTTCCTCCTGCGGTGCGTGCTAAATTTTGTTCTTTTGTCACGGGAAGGGTCCAGCCGCCCCAATCCCTCGTCAACGGTGCTAACGTCCCAGTTTGGTATGCATACTCACGAAAATTGCAGCTATTTTCGCTGTCACACGCAAATTCGTACAGTTTTTCACCCCATGGGGATTCGAACTCACGACTTCGCCACTAGCGTTTCGAAGTTTCCACCAGACCACCCGGGCGACCGGTGTGCACGTACATTCCGCTTAAGGCACCAGTCATCCAACGATAGTGGCCAATAGTCCAGTACGTAGCTTCGCAGCAATATGACGTTTGGACGCGGGTTCGAACCTTGGTACAGCAGTCGTGCGAGCTGCGATTTTTTTTCACAAGTTTGCCCCAACAAAGCGATGGCTCCGTGTGTAATCCAGAGTACGTAATTTATCGACTTTGCCGAGGATGAAAGGAACGGCTGAGTCCTTCTGGCGTTCAAAAGCAAGGCAACCACCGCAGAAGAAAGCGGGATAATGCATCTCCTGTGTTACCGTCCTCCTGTGTGACCCCTTCTGATACGTCCACAGAAGGGTGTAGACTGGCGCCAGGATTCTTACTTTTCATCCCGCTTGAGAACCAACCCCAGCGTAGTTCCAATTTAAGATTCCATCGCATGCGGGTCCCAGTCGGTTTCATTTTCCAACCACACGATGTACCTTGAAGTTGTACCGCCTCATTGGGTCGATGTGCACATAATTTTGTTTGAAAATATGGTCATTGCTAGTCTGCCACGGGTTCGTCATATGTGGAAGATATGGATTTGTTCTGTTCTTGTGAGAAGAAATAAAACGGTAGCCCCCTCGTTTATTTCCCTCCGCCTGCAGGAGTACTTCGAGAAGAACGGAGAGCCTTTGTTCTCGTCCCACATGTTGGACTTGTCTGAGGAGGTGGACGAGGAGAACATCAGCACCTGCGTCTCATACCTGGAGCGCATGAACAAGATGAAGGTGCGAAAGGGCGGATAGCCAGTCCTGTTGCTGGGCCCCTGTTTCTCCGGCAGACGTTCAGTCGGTCCTTGCTGTTGCCGCGGTCCATTCGGTTGTTGAAAAAGCTGTTCCGGACTCTGGTCACACCCATTGTAGTTACTTCAGCGGCTACAATCTGCGCTATGGCTGATGTTCCGTCGCACCTGCCGTGGTGCATGATCGCGTGTCGCGTTTGTCCTGCTTGGTTCATAGATCTGGCTGGAGATGGAGATCGGCATCACCGGGGGAGAGGAGGATGGTGTAGACAACACCGGCATGGACCAAAACAAGCTCTACACCCAGCCCGAACAGGTCAGCTTCTGTTTTGGCGCGTTCGTTTTCAAACAGCCTGGTTGATACAAGCGATTCTCAAGGACGAACGATACTTGTTTCGGTGGATATTTTGTCGCAACAGCGGCGTAAGCAAAGTGTCGAGTAGGTGGGACGTTACCTCTTGC